GATGTCTCCGGTGCCACTGCAGACATTCAGCGCTGCTAAACTTCGTTGGCCACCAACGCTGCACGCGAAAAATGAAAGCCAAAAGTCCCTCTACCAGTTTCCCTTCTCGACTTACAGATTCCTACACTAGCCTAGACCTAGACCGGACTGACTGGACCTACCGGTACCGTTGCTGTTTCGGCCTCTCGGCCTCTACCAGACCCGGCTATAGGCTATAGGACCGTATAGCAGTATAGGCCGCTTAGGGCCTGTCTGTCCTAGGGGTAGCACGGGCCTGCTGTAGGCAGTTAGGGTAGCTGTAGAAATTCGTTAAGTGCCGGGCCTGTATTTTCCCGGAATTGCAATTCTGTCCCTCACGAATTTCCAAACAGGCCGGTCTCTCGGTTAGCCCTCAGCCAAACAAAATTACAAAACTAACCCTATGGTTAGCGTACAGCCTCGCAGTCAATCTCGGCAGCAGAAATCAGCAAGTCACTGCAGGCTTACCCTCCCCGGGAGCGAGGACCTCCGAGCTAGGGGTGCAGACGAGGCGAACGGCGAAGGTCACCCTTCTGAGCCGCCTCATACCGCAGCACAACAGACTTTGTTGTCTTGATCAGGTCTCTTCTGTAGAACCATCGGTTCTCAGAAGGGGGCTGGAAGGCGAACCTGACAAGATACTGCCGGTCGGGGCCAGTGCCCCACTCATCCTCAATGGCCACCACATCATATCCCTTACCGGGGATTAGTGGGCCCCATCGAGGGGGCCGGTCAGGGAGTGCATCAACTGGCGTGAAAGGCAACAACTTGGATGCATGGAAGACCGGATAGGTTCGTAGATGCAGCGGGACGCCGCTGACGTACGACGGACCGAAGGGATCAGTGCCCACTGTATCTAGGACCTGCCACGGACCCAGGTAGCGTGGCAACAACTTAGGAGAGATATCCTCCTCCCTCGATAGCTCTGAGCTGGCCACCCAGACATAGTCACCAGTGCGGATGGGGGAAGGCCGCCTGTGGCGATTGGCTTGCTCAATCATGGCCTTCTGGGCCTTGAACAAGCTCGCCCTGGCCCTTTCCACATCCAGACCATAGCGTCTGGCGAACTCTGCAGTGCCTGGGGTAAGGTCAGGCGTAGCCTTATCGATGATATCATCGAGAGGCTGTCGTGGCTCACGCCCCCAATGCAATCGGTAGGGACTGAACCCTGTCGAGGAATGGACAGACATGTTATACATGAGCTGTTCCCTCGCTAAGTGAAGATCCGAGTCCTGCTGATCTGGGGAGATCATAGGACGCAGCAGCTGGAACAGGACTTGGTTCATCACTTCAGCCAATCCATTGGCTTCAGGATGATGTCCAGAGGTCATGTCCAGGCGTGAGTGCAGATAGTCCTTACAGTAGGACTGCCACTCATCGCTGCAAAATCTGGGGTCTCTGTCACTAACATCAGAAGTGGGTGGTCCATGGTGAGTGACCCACCTCTCAGAGAAGGCTGCTCTCAAAGCCGGTACTCTGGCTACCTCTGGCAAGGGGATGAACTCTGCGTATTTGGAAAACCTGCCCATGCAGACCATGTGAAATCAATAGAGACAGACTGTGCAGGACCATCAGGTATGGGCAGGGGTTTGAGCAATCCCAAAGGAGGTTTCCGCTGAACCTTGTTCCTTTGGCAGAGCTCACAGGTGTCCACATAGCGCAACATATCACTCCGCATCTCCTTCCAGAAGAAGCGTTGCGACAGGGCAGCGTACGACTTTAGGAACCCAAAGTGTCCACGCGCATCGTGGCACTCTGACATCAGCAGTGTCCGCAGCTGCTGATCCTCAAGGATGCACAAGCGCTCCTCTCCTCGGCTGTAAGTGTACAACAGATCTGAACTCAGGGCATAACCTGGTTCAGAATTGGGATTTGCTTCTAGATTCCTGACGATGGGTCCATAAGTCGGATCCTGAGGCAGAGAACGAGCAATGGTCTAACGGACCTCCTCTCCAAAGGAGTGAGTAGAGGAGATCAAGGCAAAGGAGTCAGGCCTACGAGAGAGGACGTCTGCTACCTTATTGTAGCAGCCCTTCTTATGCTTCAGTTCAAAGTCAAACAGATCAATGAACTGAATATAACGTGCCAACTTATCATTTAACTCTCCCTGGGACTTCAACCACTGCAAAGTGGAATGATCAGAAAAGATCTTGAAGTGCCTGCCCTGGAGAAAGTGTTTCCAGTGTTTCAGGGCACTTACAAGAGTATAGAGCTCTTTCTCGTAGGTGGAGTCCTGCAACTTCTGAGTCTTAATCTTCTTACTCATGAACTCTACAGGTCTCAGACTATTCCCATCATCCTGCTGAAGGACTGCCCCAACGCCATACTGGCTAGCATCAGTAGTCACTACAAAAGGCAAAGTTGGGTCAGGCAACTTCAGAACAGGTGCACGAGTCAAGGCCTGTTTAAGTCATGCAAAGGCCAACTGACAGTGGAGGGACCAAAGAAAGGGAGTGTCTTTCTTTGTAAGGTTAGTCAGGGGTGCAGCCACTGCAGAAAAGTTCCTGATGAACTTTCTGTAGTAGGAGGCCAGACCCAAGAATGACCGGACATCTCTCACTGTCTGGGGCCGGGGCCAATTCTGAATAGCAGCAACTTTGGCTGCTTCAGGGGCCAACCCATCTCCAGAGATTACATGACCCAGATAGATAACAAAGGGAACTCCAAAAGAGGACTTTTCCCTGTTGATCTTATACTGGCTGTCACGTAATGACTGAAGGACCAGAGCCAGTTGCTCCGCATGTTCCCTGGTAGTTTTGCTGAATACCAGGATGTCATCCAGGTAGACAACCATAAATTTATCCAGGTACGGCCTGAATATGCGGTGCATCTCAGTCTGGAATGTACTAGATGCATTGCAAAGGGCATAACCAGGTACTCATAGGTACCATACCTGGTTTTGAAGGCTGTCTTGTGGACGTCCTCCTCTGCCATCTCAATCTGGTGATAGCCAGATGTAAGGTCGACTTTGCTGAAAATGGTGCAGCCTTGGACCATATCCAGTAGGTCATCGATCCTAGGAAGTGGCTCTGTACTCTTCCTAGTGATCTTGTTGAGACCCCTGTAGTCTATGCACATTCTGAACTCACCACTCCCTTTTGGAACAAAGAGGACTGGAGCACCGAATTCAGAAGGGCTGGGCCTGATCCAGCCCTTGCTGGTCAGGGTCTCAAGCTGTCGCCTGAGCTCCTCAAGCTCAGTAGGTGACATCCTGTAGATGCGGCCCTTGGGAGGGACCGCTCCAGGCAGCAGCTCAATATGATGCTTGGTTGGCCGGTTGGGCAACCCAAAGAGCTCATGCATCAGATCAGCATACTGGTCCACAACCTGCTGTATCTCAGGGGGACAAGGAGTAGTAGGAGTATCTGTCTGCTTGACCAGAGCTACGAACAGACATTCATGGTCATACTGGCGAGAGAGAGCATAAAACTCTCTCGCTCTCAAGCAGAAGCAAGATGTCTTAGGGTGGTAATCAGCTGCAATCATGCAAGGCTGATACACCCCCTTGCTGTTTGGCAATTCGACCTTGGGGATCTGCTAGTCGATCCTTGGGTTGATTGCTCTCAGCCACTTCATAGAGAAGACCAGGTCAAAGGGCAAATCAGGGAAAACGTAGAAGTTCAGACTATGTCTGACTTCTCCAACGCTGTCGAAGGTAACAGGAATACCCCTGACCTTCTCCCTGATGGTCAAGACAGTGGAGTCAGCGGTTGCTGCAGTTGCACCACTTTCACGCCCAGATGCAGTTTTTTGACTGCACTGGGAGACATGAAATTTCTGGTGGCTCCACAATCTAACAACCCCTTGATCCTGCGATGGTTGATCAGGGGCCGAAGCAGGATGAGGTCAGACTTGGTCTGCTTTTGTTCTTTCAGATGAAAGAAAAAAGCAGCAAGAGCCTGACACTCAAACTGGTCCGGTTCCTGATCCGGGTCAGGATCCTCATATGTAAAGGATGCTGCCCGTGCAGCTCCCACATCGGATGGGAAGGAATGAGTCTCAACTGAAGTTGCTGCAGCTGCAGAGGCAGTTGCAGCACTGGAGGGAACTGCTGTCTCCAAATTCAGCTGCAGTTTTTTGACAGAGATGGACTGGGCATGTAGGGACCGTCCTTCAAAAAGTGCTGCCCCTCACACCTTAGGCAGACCCCCTTTTCCTTCCTCTTCCTCCACACCCCTTCCTGTATCTTCAAATCATGCCAGGGAAGGGTGTTGGGGTTGAGGGGGTCTGCAGGAAAGCGAACGTCACGTGGCAGATTAGGGCGCCGGGCAGGGGTTGAAGAGCNACGTCACGTGGCAGATTAGGGCGCCGGGCAGGGGTTGAAGAGCGACGTCCCTGGCTCTTCCCCTTGCTGCTGGAGGGTGTGCTGGCGGGAGACCCAGCCTTTTGAAAGGCCCCCAGCACAGCCTGCAGCTGCTGGACAACTGCTGCAACATCTGGAACAGCAGCTGCTGCAGTCCCACCTGGCGGTGTACCAAGCCGGGATCCTGCATCAGATGATGATCCAGAACCCGCATAAGCAAAGGCCGCCTTTCCCTTTCTACCACCGCGAGGGAAGGCGCCTTTCCTCCTATCACTGGAGGGGGCCTGAACATGGAGCTTGGCCTCCATGTCCAGTGCTGCACGTCCAAATGAGCGCCAGTCTTTGTGCCCGGCGCTATACAAAGCGACTGAGAACTTCTCAGGCGCAACCCTGCAAAAGCTAGTCAGCAGATCAGCAACAGACATAACCAATCCAGGGGTGGAGGTAAGCTGCTCAAATTCAGTGAAATGGGCCTGCAGGCTGCCGCTGTAACGCTGTTGTCCAAGGCGTACGATCTTGTCAGCAGCCTTACGGGCGCGTTCCTTGTCTGCAAACCTGTCCTCCAGGGCCTGCAGAAGTTTATCAGCCCCCAATGCCAATGCCCAATCCTCCAAAGTCTGAGTCTGGGCACTTGCTGTAGAGGTAGCCCATTTCTGGGCTGGCCCCTCCAACAGTCCCACAACCGTTGCCACCTTCTGCTGCTCTAGGCACTGGAACCCCTTGAGATATGCCCGGGTCCCAGCTGCCCAGTCCCCAACATCAATCTTGGGGTCATCCCCCCTGAATTTGCTGGGGGCAGGGATCTTGGGGCCTCGTGAGTCCCCAGCAACAACAGCAACAAAGGTGGGAGGAGGGGTGGCTTTGGCCTGGGAGGAGACTGAGAGAGAAGACTTATGAGAGTGATGGGAGGAGCCAGGAGGTGGAGAAGGAGGAGGAGAAGACTGCTTGGGCTTTGGTGAGGGTCCCACAGGGACCAGGGGACTGATGATGTTGGCTGCTGTTAACTGAGCAGTCAAGTTCTGGATTGAATCCAGAATCTTTGTCTGCTGAGTTCCCAGATCAGCCACACGAGTCTCCAGTCTCTGGATCCTCTCATCCCAGTTGGTGAAATGGCTGGCTGTCAATTTGTCTTGCAAAAGTACCAGCTCAGCCAGGTCCCTGGTACATTGGGACACCCTGGCATCAGCGACAGTCTTTTCTGCTTGCTGCAGCAGATGCTCCTTTCTGGAAGCATCTGTTGCAGCCTCCAGTTCTGCAGCCTCTTGCCTCTCAGCTTCTGCAAGAAGCGCCTGCTGCTCCTGCAGTTTCTCCTGTATCTCTCTCTTTCGCCGCTGCGCAGGGGTCAGAGGAGGGGGAGGAGGTGTTGTGGCTGAGGGTTCTCATTCAGCCTTGATCACGACCTCAACCTTCCCTGCACCTGTGTCAACTGCGTCAGACATTTTCCCTCACAGAACAACAACAAAACCAAAATGAACCAGCGGGGGGGTGCAGCAATTTACAGCTCTCTCAGACACTCAAATCTCGCTGCACTGTCAATTCACAAAGAGATGTAGGTTAGTGGACACAGGTGGTTAGGGTTGGAATAGGACCACTGGGGTCAGCAATCAGGGTGACAGAATGTCCAGTAAAATCATTCACTAATGATTTCCTATTCCTGACACTGAACTTTCATTGAAGTTGCAAAGTGCACTTTCACAGCATCCCAGGGGTCACTAATATTCCAGAGCCCATCAGAAAGCAAAGCACATTAGTAGTATTGATGGACACAGGCGAGAACTGACTGAGACACAACAACAGCTAGTAGAGATTTAGTAGACTACACCCTGACATCCCCAAACTCAAATTTCGCCACTGTTGACATCAACAAAAATAACCCCAGGTATGGCGATTTTCAGGATTACACTGTTATGACTCAAATACAGTGTTTCTGGACTAACGATTTAGCACAGATGCTAAAAATAGAATTGCGATTCACCCCAGACTGACAGACTTGAATTATGACGGTCAGATTTTGAGTTATGACTGACCCTAGGTAGCCTGGACTATAAATAGACTCAGCGCACAACTCAAATCCACAGTATCACTACCTTTTCAGTACAGAATTCAAAGAATGAACATACAAGATGCAGCGCAATACTGTCAGGCAGTCCCAGAACAATTTGGAGTCAGAACAGGTCAATAGATGGAGAGATATGAGTCAGGGTAGGGAGGAAGAAAGTGGATATGGCTGTCTTGCAGTCTGACAATTTCACGACTGTTACACTACTGAGAGACAAACCATCAATCCTACTTCTACTAATGCTTATCTAATCGCTACTCAGGGATTCATATGGAACA